TGAGGGAAAAAAACCCAATTATTTTGAACCAAGCAGGAAGTAGATAAAGGAACTCTGTACAACTTTCTTACACATGAGTCAGAATGTGGATAAATGGTTTGTTATTGATATGCCCTGATTAACCCAGCCAAAAGTTAAGCCTTCTACCCACTCTTGTATATATCTACTGCTTCGCATGGGATGCAAGATGATAACACAGAATAGCCAAAGAATTTGATCAGTGAGTTGGGCAACCTTGTTAACCCATAAGGAGGACCACAGTGATAACTGAGTGAGGGGCTAGATGCTGTGTACACCTATTCACATATGTACCTATGTCCACATTGTTTCCAATTCACTCATCCATAACATATATGTATCACAGTTCTCCTCCTCTCTATTTCCCCTTCCTTTAATGGGAGGGACAAGAAAAAAGAAAGGCTTACAATTACCATGTTGCAGATTGCTGCAGAAAACCAGTGATAGTTAACTTGGTCACTGCAAGTGAGTGTCCATTCTGTTTCAGCCATTTATTTTATTCTAGTTCAAATCTCTTGAAGTTGGATCAGTGGAAAAGAGGGATCTGGTCCCTGCCAGCAAGCTGATTAACTGGTTTGTTGCTTTGGGTTTTGCAACTTGAGGAAAGAGTTGGCAAGCAGTCTGCAGATTGCTAATTCCTGAAACAGATGTTGTCATGAGATTACAGGCTAGATGGAAAACCCCTGTGCTGAATTGAATTTCTAGGGCTGTCAATTGCCTCCTGCTAGGAGAAGAATAGCATTTGATTCAAGAGGTCTGGCCTACCTAAAGCTTTCAGAGTGGTTCTCCTTGATAGAACACTGCAAAGGCTTAAGTGGTTTCAGCTGGAGTGAGTAGATGGTTAATGCCTACCTGCTTTCTCTGTTGCATCATTATGGAAGACAATTTTTCCTGGGAATGAATTCTCTCCTCCCATTTGGGCATCTTCCCCAGTCATTTAACATTCTGAAGTAAGTTTGGGCTTTTTTAAATGGGCTTTTCCATGTACAGAGTTTAAGCAGTTGGCTCAGGCAGTCTTAGATACAGCTGTTCATATCCTGCCAAATAGTTTTACAAGTTCTGCAGCAGCAAGAAAAAAAACCTTTTTGCTGTACTTTCCCAAGAAACATTTGAGCATTCTTTGCCCATATTAGTATGAGCTATTTTTATAGAAGGAAGAAGAAGTCAACAAGGAAGTATATGGGGTGGGGCAGGATCAAATAATTCTGATAATGTCTCCTTGCTTCAAAAGGTACAAGCCAAGAATTATCATTTGAGACCCTCAGACTCAAGATATTTGGAGGGTCCCAGATTTAGGAAAATTGCTTTAAGGGTGACCCAACTTCTGACACTTAACTTATTTCTTTTCTGAATAGTTTGAGATGAGGTATAGGTAGAGTAGGTGGATTAGAACAGGAGATAAAGTCTAAGGCACTCCACTAAACACCAAGAGACCAAGTTGTGAAGCAGTGAGGTATTTCAGAATGGGTTCATAAGTGCCTACACTGAGCATCTGCAGAAACTAATGATCCTTCTTAAATCTTAGCATGTGTATGTCTATGTGTGTTATAGACATATAATGCATATGTCTGTGCTGTAATCCTGTGTTATAAATGGGTCTTCAAGTACTGGCAAACATCAAAAATAGATCCTGTACTTCTGAAGTTGTCCAGTCTTGCTTTTGATAATTTGGCCATTATCCACCCCTTTCTACCCTCTGTAATTAACATTGAAGGATGAAGAGGATAGGTCTTTTCCTGGTGACTGTGCTCTTTACTTTCCCACCACCTTTTTCGGGAGTCAAAATCTGAAGAGAGGAATGCATAATTTATGTAAGATCAGAGAGAGTGGGGGAAGAGCCTATACAGCAGACCACAATTTCAATATGTGGACAACATAGGGAGGGCAATGATGGGAAAGCTATCTGGAGCCACCCCATTTTCCCCTCTCATTCACTTCTGCCCAAACAGGGATTTTATCTCCATCATAATTCTAACTGTAATTTGGGTAAATAGTGATGGAATATACAATAAAAGATGTTTGATAGATCTGTTTGGGATGTCAGTCTCTGTCTTTTTTGAGAACCCTGAAATAATGGGAAGAGAAACCAGATTAGAGGAATTAATTCTTATCTCTTGTTTTGAGGACCTGGACTGTACTTTGTAGAGAAGTATTGGGGAAAGTTTGGAAGAAGAATGGTCAAAGATAGTAGCCAAAGGTCTGAAATAATATCATCTCATACTGTATTGAGAAATGATGTTGCAAACAGTAGCCAATAAGATGACTGGTAGAATTGCCCTATTAATGTCAAATATGACATTTGTGAGAATCAACAGATAGAACAGTTGGTTCCCAAATTGATGAAGTTTCAGGAGACCATTATGTAAGCAGCTGCATGCTTTTCTGTTGTGAGTGGAGAGTCCTACATCCTCGCTTGATTAGAAAGAAGCCAGAAACTCTCTGCCCTAATATACAAGGTTATAGATTGGTTTTAAATGGTACAGTTGCTGGAATTCTTGGAACTCCAGTCCATTTATTCCAATAAATCTTGTTAAGAGATGTTTGAATGTTTAGGAAAAAGCTGGCCAAAAATAGTGGGAGAGTCTTGATTGCATAGCAGTCAGGAACACAACCGGTATGAGGTAGAAGCAGACAGGGGTAGATTCATGTTCACTTTATGAGCAGTTTCATTTTTCAGGCCATTGGCTAAGTTCGTGTCTGTTTTAAAACTGATTCCTTCTTATCCAGAGGTGCAATTTCTTGCTTCTTGGGCAAGCTGGAGATGTATGTGCAACTGCACATATGCTACAGCTCCTGCCATTAGACTTGAGCTACAGTCCGCAAAGCGTTTTGGAATTTGGATTTGTCCCATTGAATCTAACTTACCTTCATTTTTGGGCACAGAGTATGGGTTGGTTATATTGACATTACCATGCCAGTTCTATCATAGTGGGAAATGGGTGGAATACAGAATACAAAAAATTGTCACTGGGAGGCTTAGAAGAAGGGTACTGTCAAGAGTGGCTTGCTGTTTTCAGAACCAGCTGAAAGAACTGGCAGAGGGCCTGAGAGAGACATCTCTGCACGGATGATGTTGAACTTGATCATCATCAAGTGGATTCATTTCTTGACCCTCAAGATCATGTGCTTTTACCATCTGGAGTATTCACTTTGTGCAGGAGTGATGTTCTCAAAAAAGGACTGTGCTATTGGATTGTGTACCATCCTATCTGAAGAAGGTATTAAAGAGGTATCTGAGTCTACAGGATGGTAGTTGTCTGGGCCTGACGGCAAAGATCTCTGGTAATCTGGTAATTTTGAGAAAAAGACTATCAGAAACCAAAGGGTCAGAGCAAGGCAACAATTACTGTGGTAGCTGCTTGTGTAGGCATTGATAGATCTGATAGATCTAGCAGTAGAACTGTTCATGATTGGAACTCTAGATAACATTATTGATAGTTACAGTATGAGACCATTTGAAGAGATCATAGAAATAAACATTTTAGATGAGCAAGTGGAATGTACCATGAAAGTGAAAAATAGAAGTCCTGCAGAGATGAGAATTAAAAAAAATGGATGTAATGTAGAAAGGAATGATCACTAGCGGAAGAAGAATGGCTAATCAGACAGCCCAGTGGAGGAAATTATTCCTAGGCTGCATTGGATCTATAACTCCCCAGCTTTGATCCAACTGTTGGAATTGGCAAATTAAATAAAGACAGTGGAAGTGGAATATTTGAAATCTCACAAGTGCTGCAGGCATAAGAAGTGAAGCTGATGGGGTACAAACTTGTGTTTAACATTTAAATACTGGGTCTTGATTTCTGTATTTTTCAACAGGCAAATCTTCTGTGTATCATATATGACTTCTTTCTTTTCTGCAATAAAGCAACTACTAGCAATTCCAAGTCATTGAGGTTCTTGCTGTTATTTGCCTAGAGATCTTTAGCCAAGATCATCCTGAAGTCTGACAGCAGACCCAAAAGTCAAAAACAGAATCAAAGCAGGAAGGCTTCCTTTTCTTAAATCAGGCTTAGTAGAAGAATGTTTCTTCTCCTTCAGATGGGAAAAGTTGTGCAGTTGGCTGAGCACTGAAGATGAACAAGTCCTAAAATTGCCAATGGGAGCTTAGGAGGTGGTCCTTGCTTGAGCTGGCCAGGAAATAGAAATGGTAGCAATCTGGAGGGCGTCCTGGAGGATGATCAGTGGCGACAGGGCTTTCTCCCAAAAGAGAGCTCTGAGAAACAAGGAACAGTTACACCGTATCAACTTCTGTTAGTGCTGGCAAGCATCACCAAGGTGTCCCTCTCCAAGCAGAGTAGGTAAAGTGAGTGTGTGTGTGTTGGTAGTAGCACACTGCTACATTTTAAACACTTGAGCTTGCAGAGGCAAAAGCTTAGAAGGAAGACCATGACGACTAGGAATAAATGAATTCGCACATACCTTGGCATGCAGGCGGGCAGGAAATGAATGTTGAAAGAGCACTCAGTGTGGCGCCAGACAGCAATTGTGGGGAGAGCAGGAGCCATGTGCGATACAAGATGTCTCCTGCCCAAACTCTTCTCAGCGATAAAAAAAATTCAGTGCTGGTTTCACACAGACAAAACACCTATGGATGTGATGCAGCAAGAGTACGGTGAAGTTGTCATAGCAACTTTTCTGTAAACGTGTCATCCTTTCCTAATCAATTAGATAGATAGCTGTGCTCCACTGTGTTAATCTCATCTGTTGTGGCATTGTTGGCTCTGCTCATGGGGCTGCTTCAAAAGGTTGCAGGCCAGGGTGGGAATTAAGCCACCTGCCTCAGATAATTAACGGGGCAGGGGGAACAGTGCCTTCCCAGGGGTGCAGAAAATGAAAACACAAGATGTGTATTGAATGTGTGTCTCATGACACGCTCTCTTCTGGGTTGTGTGTAGAATGTTTCCTGTGCTGCTGCATGTTAAAAACAATATGCACCTCCCCATGTTCCAGCTTGCTAGGATCCACCCAGCACTTGCTTGCAACGTGCGTCTCTCTTTCGTCATAAGTTCTAGCCTCCCAGTGTTGTAATGCGGATTGTGTGTGCATGTGGATTAAAAGCCGTAAGAATTACTGCCTAGAATGAAAGCAAGCAGAACCTTGCACATTTTTGGTACCGGAGTCAGGTAGGCAAACTGTGGAGGGAAGGGAGATGATAACATGTTTTATATTGGGAAGGTCACAGGTTCATTTCTTCTTTCTCTGAGAATTCTTCTGGCTTTCATATGGGGAAAATTCTTTGGGATCATGGAGAGATTTTTCTTGTTAAGCTAGAATTCAGAAATTGCTGGAATAGGGCATTAAATGGTCAGAGATGGTATAAAAAGAGCTGGCTGTGCGTTCTAGCATCTAACATTGTGTCAAGCATAATGAAGGGAGGACTCTGGAAATGCCGCAAGGGGTTGGGATGTGAGGAACGGTGATTAGGATAATTCACTTGAAGTTAGCAGGGTGTTTGAGGGAACTAGTAGAAGTTGGATATTCAACTCAGTTTTGTAAAGGAACCTAAGAAATACAGAATGACTTTAGTTTGGGAAAATATGTGAGGACGATCAGGCTTCAAGAAAGTTGAAGATTATTATTCAACTCAGTTTTACATAGGAAGTTAAAAAATACAGAATGATTTGAGTTAAAGATTATATGAGAATGAGCAGGCTTCGAGAAAGTTGATGATTCACCTCAACTGATGATTCGAGCCAATTTCACATAGGAAGTTAAAAAATAACTTTCTTAAGAAAGAGTCTGAGAAAGATCAGGGGATGGAAGGAAGAATCCCAAAGACTTTTATTCCAGAAGTTTAGGTTGGGCAGGAAATCAGGTAAAGACTTTATTGCATCTATAAATGTATACATGTTTAATTCAACATGTGGAATATTTTGAGGAAAGATATAGACCCAAGTATTTCATAGAGTCAGAACAAATTGTAAATCCGAATTTCTTACAGTAGTATAGAGTTGGATGGATCCCAAAGGCAGCAAATTAGACTTGTTTCGGTTACTCTTCGGTAAAGAGTATAAACAATGTTGCTATATAACTTCAGTGAGCTTTGGTAATGACATTGCATAATTATCCAGAATAGTCATAATATCAGCATATAAGAAACATTTATATTCAGTGCCAAGTGCCACCACACTCTTAACATCTTAGTTCAAAAACCACATTGAAGATTGAAGGAGACAAAGGGCATCTAAGGCCAGTGCCACAACATAACTTTACAGGTTAAGAGACAGATCCATCTGTAATAACGCTAGTCACTAGGTAAAGATAACAAATTGAAATCCAGTGAGTAAAAGGTAGTGGACACCTGTATCTTCTTAGAAGACGCTCCATAAGTTCAATCTACAATTTATAAATTCAGACTGAAATTCAGTCAAAGGCCTTTTCAGCATCCAGTGAAATTAGGACAGCTGATTCCAATTTATCTGCCAGAGTGTCCAATAGATCAGTCACCAGGTGGATATTGTCAGATGTTTGTATATTTTTTTATAAAGCCACACTGAGATAGCTAGATTATAGATGGTATTACTTTCTGAAACCTCCTGGTTGGAGTTGTAATTAATATTTTAGACTCCATGCTGAGCAGAAATGTTGGCTTATAACTAGCACATCTAATAGGGTCTTTCTTAGGCATTGATATTATTGTTAGATAAGCCTTATAAAATGATAAAGGAAGCATAGAGAGATTAAACGATTGATTGAGTTGTCTTTGTACTTCCTTGTGATGTCAGTGGTTGTGCCAATTTATTTTTATCTTCCTGGGAAATCTCTTCCACCTCAGTATCCACTCAATATATCACCAGGAAACTAATAACTTGCTCTTCAGTTACAGAATCCCTAATTTAAAAAATTGAGTATAAAAGTCATAAAATTAATGACATTAACTCTTCATCATTCAGGGTAGGCCAGATCAGGAAACAGACACAAGAACTGCTCAAAGTCTGTTTCTGTATAATAACAGAATCTCCACCCCCCTCGCCCCCCAGATGGCATAGATTACTGCCCACCCATGCATTCAACCCTGGGAATAAAGGCATAGGAGAATAGCTTCAAAACTCACATGATAGCAATGATTATTATGGCCAAAAAAGGCACAGAGCCTGTGAAAATTCACAAGTGGCCAAGGGGTTGTAAACCTTTTGATCTCATTTCTGAGAGAGAGGCCGAAGAAGTAGTACAGTATTTAACTTTCTTATTCCTTGTCAGTATACCGGCTGAATCAAAAGCTTCCCTTAGATAAAGCACTTAAAAAGAAAGATTTGGATAAATCATAATTTTACATCGATGATATTTCAAATCGGTAGCTTCTCTTAAAAGTTGTGAAAGGTGGACCCTAGTACTGGACTTCAGAAATGTCATAGTTATAGGGGCAGATCCCCATGAGGCATTGCCTTTACTCTTAATCTATAAGTGTTCATTATTTCTAGTTTAACATCAATTCACAATGAGAAGATTTCATGAATGTATTCCTCCATGTAATTTAACAACGGCTTCTGCTAGAGGTTAGTTATTTTTAAAAGATTATCTTCTAAGGTCTTGATTCTGGTTTCATGAGAAATGTCAACGTTTCTCTTCAGTGCTTCCAAACCTTTCCCAGCTTTAAGAGCTTGAACTTTCATGATTTAAGGTTCATTGTGGGTCCCTGTTTAGAAATGGACTATTTGTTCAAAGCTTATTACTTGTCCCTGCTAGGAAAGTGATAACATCAGGAGTCAGTGGGTTTGTGTGTGATAAGTTGGATCTATTGCCCCTTCCTCCCTGTCTGGGATTTCAACAGGGTCTATAAGCTCATCAGCTGTCAGGTTCAGCCCAAGAACAACAGCATGATGGTCCAGAACAGTTTAGCTCCTTTATTAGCTTACACCTAATAAGACGGAATCTCACCAGACTAAATCTATACTACAACAACAGTAACTATAACCATGAGGCCCTAGGGCGGGGCCAGTCTCATTCTCTTGGCTTTCCCCCACTCCGGCTGGGGACTGAGGAGGTGCTTCCCTGGAATGTCTCCCCCCTCCTGGCAACCTTGAAGCTCCATTCCAGAACCTTCCCCGCTCATGCCTTCCATCACATCAGCTTCCCTTATTCTCCATTATCTGGAATGGGAAGTTTTGGCTTAAGATGCCTGAGTGGGAGTTGCCACCTTCATGTTATGAGGCTGATTGTTGAACTGTTGCATCCAAGTTATTTAAAGCAAAGTGAGAGAGTTTGGGCATAAACCACATCACTCGGCTATCTGTATGAGCAATTATATCCACAAGTTGAAGTGGGGTAAAGAAAGGCAACTACCTAGGTAGCCATGAAAACCAGAAATCAAAACTGTTTCTGTAGTCATCAGTTGATGGTTAAAATTTCTATTAATTCTCTGGATAAGATGAATGTTATTAAAACGATAATCATATTTTATGTTATGAATGATTAATGTCAGAGAGACGCAGGAAAGAGGTCGGGGATCCTCCCTCCCTCCCCACATATAATATAGGCTTGAGCCATTTGCCCTCCCCTCACGACCCTCAGGAGAGCCCCTGTGAAGCCTCCTCTTCCTCAGCTGACTCGCAGAACTGCCTGCCACTTTGCTGGGAGGAGGTGGAACAAAGGGAGTTGCGGACCATGAGCTGCACCCCTGCTCCCCATTTTGGCATGTCCCCAAGGGCCCCCTCCCTCGGGGGAAGAGGGCTCACCCATTGACCGCCGGCACCCCCCAGCCAGCAGGCATCCAAGTCGCTCCCTCATCCTTCCCTCAAGATCCACAGTTAAGAGATTTCAAATATCTGCCTCATTTCCAAAGCAGCCAATCACCACTCACCCGTCCGGCCTTGCCACCAGCCAATTGGGTGCAGAGGACAGAGGAAGGTGGGAAAGAGGACTGGGATATGCCTGTGACAATCATGTGACATGGGCTACCACGGCAGTGCAGCAACACAGCAGTGCTGAAGCGGCCACAAATTTCCCAAATTTCAATCCCCCAGGAGTAATGGGTCCCGGATTTTGGATGCATTCTGTAAATTTGCCCATTTGAGGTACCTTGGTTCAAAAATTGTTGCCCTATGACACACCGTTTCACCCAGTTGAATGTTACAGACATGAGAGTTTTAGTAATATATAGATAGATTGGTAAGGAATTAGGTTTTGATCTGGAATCACATTGATGCTGTGTCAGTACAATTTTGGAAAGAAATATTTTTGTTAAGGACCTTTATGTGATGTTAATCTATATTCCTAAAACATGGAATTTGTCATCACAAGAAGATGTTTGGTGCCATAGAGCCTGGGCCATGGCCAAGGGGATAATTTTATATAAATGGAAGGAAATTTATCCTCCAGATTTTATGGACTGGATTCAGATAGGAATCTACTATCTATTTTTGAAAAGCCTTTGGTTCTGAAAAAAAAAATGATGAAGCAGTATGTTTCTATGTTACTTAGTTTTAATGATAAGGATAGAATTAATACATATCTATGAATATTATATAATTCTTTTTTTCTTTTATTGCCGTGTTTAGTTTATCTTAATCACCATAATATATCTAAGGTCTTTTTTCTTCATTGTATAATTACTGGGTTTTTTCCTTTTCATATTGTAGTAGTTGTATTTCACTGTTAAAAGTGAAAATTTAAAAAAAGGTAAGAACTTCGCTGAGAGAGCAAGCAGGTTTCAAAATTCTGTGATTTACATGGAAATACATAGTCACTGTTTTACTGGAGTTTTGATGCTCAAACAGAGCCAAGTGTACAAGAATAGAATTTAAAAATTCTGAGTGCTGGAATTCATTTTGAGTATCAGAAGTAAATGGGGATCATTTGCCTTCTACAACAAAATCCATTCGTTGCACACTGTTAACCAACTGCAAGTCAAGAATTCTTGCAGACTGCTGCTAATCCCTAGGACAGAATAGGACCAAATTTGGTATGTGGGGAGAAGCTGGCAAAAAAAGAGATTGTGTTAAAAAATGAGCTGGATTCAGCCAGAAAAAATCCCCAGTGCATCTCTTCGGAGTGGACGTTGGGCATTGGCCCCAAATGTGGCTGGCCCTCTAGTCTCAGCTCCCGCTGTTCTTCCTCTTGGTTGCCTGCCTGCCCTGCCATCCCCAGTGCATGTGTGTATGCGACAAACACAGACACAATGCAAAGGAAGGAAGAAATACACATCGACAGCATGTCACTTTGTTACTCAGACCCCTCTTATGGCTGCTGCTGTTAAAAAGGTTGGAAGGAATTCTCAAATGCATACTCTGCAGGTTTTCCCTACCTTGTTATTTATTGCACTGCTATCCTACTCTTACTCAAAAATGGTTCCAGAGGGTCCCCTACAAATATCAGTAACTTACTTGGGATTAAATTGAAAAGAAAATGGGATGACAAAGGATTGGGGTGGGGGCATGCTCAGATCACAGTTCTTACCCCAGGCACCCGGGATGAAAACCATAGAGACAACCAAACTGAATGGCTGCTTTGCAGGGACAGCCAAGCCAGATGGTTTCTCAGCAGGGCGCTGGCAGAGTTGTGCATCTTTCCTTTCTCTCCCTTTGTTCTGTGGCCGGACGAAATGGACAAAGAAGGGGTTCAAAGTCTTCCTGTGGATTGGCACCCCAAGCTCTTTCTGTGCCCTAAGACAAAAGACACCTTTCTCTTTCTGATGTTCGCTCCCTCTCCCTCCCTCCCTCCCTCCCTCTCTCTGCTCCAGGATGCGTCCTGTCCGAAAGTCCGTGTGTGCACTGATGGTGCTGACAGCATCCCTGGCTTTTCTGTACCTTCACGTATGGTCGCCAAAGCCTTACAGTACGGTGGACCTGCGACATCGGCCTGACCAGATGCCTGAGCTCTTGTTGTATGATCACCTGCTGCTGCCTGACAAGAAATATGCACATGTTGCTTTCCGGATCAAGGAGGAGATTCTGGAGTGAGGGTCTTTCTTCTACACCCCTGCTGTCCCTGCTTGCTAAAGGCACTCTCGATTTCACATGACATGCCCCCTTTTTGTATTTTGGAGTAATGTTTTTGCAATTTTGTGTTTCTATTCCTTTTTTTAAAAAAATTGTGTGGGAGGCTTTTTTTTCCTCCCCAACTTCACACTGGAAATTCCCCAGAGTAAAAGTTGCTTTTTATAATTCTGGGTTTTATTGTTGTTGTGAGTCACCCACAGTTGTGGTTTGATTTATTTCTTTTTAATTGAAATTTTTGAAGAGGCAGATAAAAACTAATAAAAACTAATATTTAGAATGAAGAAAGAAACACAGAGGGAAATAAGAACAGAACTGTTAGAAGGTTGGGGCATGTAGACATTTTTATATATTAAGACATT